ACATATTTTGATCCTATCCAACTTTCTGAATACTTTGTCTTACCCTCTTATCCCTCTCAATTCAATACTTTTATGGGACTAATAGCCTATTACGTTTATTTATACCAGTATTACTGCTCGAGATTGCTTTGTGCTATGATGGTAGGAAGGTTACAAAGTCAATAGGTGATAGGTAGTTTTCAGCTCACTTGTGATCTTGTGGGACTACCCACAGCATATGTAGTCTCTTGTGAACTGAAATGTCACTGTGTTGTATAGGACTGTACGGTAACATTTAACTGTGTATTGCTAACTTCTTCTAGACCATTATAACACATAAGTGATCACTATTACAATATTCCAGTAGTAAATATCTCAAAGGTCTCACTCTCTAACTTTGTAATTCAGGCTGGCCTTGAACTCACTATATAGCCCAGGCCAGCCTCAAACTCACAGGGACCCTCCTGGCTTAGCATTCCAAGTGCAGGGGAGAATAGGCATGTGACATCATGCCTTGCTCATTCTCATTTTTTTTTACCAGTACCAGGGATTGAACTCACAACCACATGCTTGCAAGGCAGGCGCTTATGCGCAGCCCCTGTTCATTCCCATTTTATACACAAATGATAGTATGCTGTACACACTTCAGACACATCACTACTTCCTCCTCCTCCTTTTTTTTTTTGGCACTGGGGATCGAACTCATGACCTTGCATTTGCCAAGCAGGCACTCACACTGCTGAACTAATCCCCCACCCCCTTGTCTTTTTGAGACAAGGTCTTACTATGCAGTTTAGGCTGCACTTTGAGTTCACTTTGTAACCCAGGCTGGTCTCAAACTTACAATGATCTCCTGCCTCAGCCTCCCAAGTGCTGGGATTACAGGTGTACATCACTATGCCCAGTTAGTTGCATCATTTCTTTTTTTTTTTTTTATATTGGGGATTGAACTGATGACCTCACACTTGCCAGGCAGGTGCTTATGCCACTGAGTTAAATCCCCGGCCCCATTTCTTTTTGTCTAGTGATCTCTATAGCATTTTTTTTTTTAACTTTTTATCGGTACCAGGGATCAAACTCACGACTGCCTGCTTGCAAGGCAGGTGCTTATGCCGCTGAGCTAAATCCCCAGCCCCTAATTCTTTTTTTTTTTTTTTTATAGCATTCTTTTGAAGCATTAGCTGTGCTATTGGCTGGAATAGTAATAATGAAGCAGCTGACAAGACCTTAAGCTTGTTCTGTGCTACCACGTTAACAGCCTAAAAGTCAACTATTTTATTTATTTAAGTGTTGTTTTTTGAGTAGAGTTGTGCTATGTAATTCAGGTTAGCCTCGAACTCATGGCAATCCTTCTGCCTCAGCTTCTCAAGTGCTGGGATTATAGTGTGCCACGTTGTGGCTGCTACTTTTTTTTTTTTTTAAGAGGTGGAGTCTTAGTATGTTGCTAGGCTGGTTCTGAAATCCTGAGTTTTGGGGCTCCTCCTGCTTTCACTTCCCAAGTAGCAGGGATTACAGGCACACACCAGTGTGGAGTTGCTTATTTATTTATTTTGGTGGTATTTGGGATCAAACTCAGGGCTGCATATGATGTGTGCATACAATGTTTTACTGAGTTAGGTTTCTGGACCAGGTACAGATATTTCAATAATGCCTGGATGTAGTATTCCAGCCAGTCTCTTGCAAGTGCTTAAACATCAATCTTGCACATAGATGGTAGGAAGCCAAATCCCATCTAGGACACTCCAAAGAGTGATATTTCCTTGGCTGTTTATTCACAAGACTGTGAGTCTCTGGAGGGCAGGAATGTGTTTAATGGAGCATTACTCCCTAGCATAATACCCAGAAATTATCAAATGCTCTAATTTTGGAAATCTTTGGAATCTGAGTCACAGTGGATGTCACTGCAGAAAACAAGTTTGCTTTTTTCTCTTTTGATGGCACTTAGGATTGAACCCAGGGCCTTTGAACTGAGCTATATCCTCAGTCCCCTTTTAAATTTTTTTTTGGGGGGGTATCAGGGACTGAACTCACAATCTTGTGCTTGCCAGGAAGGTGCTTAAGCTACTGAGTTAAATCCCCACCTCCTTTTTAATTTTTGAGACAAGGTCTTGCTAAGTCACTAAACTGCCCAAGTTGAGATCAAATTTGTAATCTTCCTGCCTCAGCCTCCCATAATAATTTTGCTTTGAGTTTCATAAAATACAAGTATCTTAATTATGATTTTGTTTTACTTTTCCAAAATAAATACGCTGGTAGGGATATAGCTCAGTGACATAGCACTTGTCTCACTAGCTTGAGGTCCTGGATTGCATCTGCAGCACCTCAAAACACAGCAAAACAAAAACAAAAAACTCATATTCTGACAGTATGAATATGATGATTACTGTGTTTTGAGCAATAACCACAATCAGTCATTGTTGTCAAACACATATCTCATTTAATCTACAATTTTGTAGGGAATGGAATTAAGTTGGTAGATGATGAAATAGTCAGGTTAAATAATTCACCCAAGGTTGCACAGCTAGAGAGAACATGAGAGTCAAAATTCAAAGCCAGGTGAGTCTAATCCTATATCCAATGGCCTTAAGACTCACATATGTACACATGTCAGCTACTTCTAGAAAACCACAAGGAAAGTTCTACTTCAATTCAGGGGTGGCTGAAAACAGTGTAATTAGTATCACCAATATTTAGCACTTTGAGTGTTCACTGTTTTGATGATCCTGGATATTTGAGAAGGAAACAGTACAAAGCATGTTTCTTATTTCTATGAGTTGCTTCCTAAACTGACAAATCCTAAAATTGTCTTGTATTTTGTTCAGATGCCAGAAACTTCTTCAAAGTATGAGGAAGGTTGATGGTGTGCTGACATTGACCTTGATGATGTAATAATGAGACAGATACAATGCCAGCATTTGCTATTTACTTCCTGACAGCAGCTTTACTGGGAGCCCTTAAAATAGAACAGTATATCCTGTCCCATAGTAAAAGTTTGGCATTTAATATTTAATATTAAATGAGTCAAGCCAACCATGAGGGCAAGGTAATCCCAGTGCTCCTGGGCTCTCAGCACAAGTGCAAGGCCAGCTTGGGTTATGCAGCAAGATCCTGTCTTGAAAAACCAAAACAACTGCCCTTCAAATGTTAAAGGAGTCAGAAAGTAGTCCTTGTTGGCACTGTCTGGGGTATAGCTGTTTTGTTCAAAACAGACAAAAATTCTTCTATATTTGGAATTTACATCTAATGGGGAGCAATAAAACAAAAAAGTAATACATAAATCAAATGGAGAAACTAGTACAAGGAAGGGGAATGGAGAATGTGTGCAATTTTAATTTTTTGCAGTGTGTTGCAGTTGTGACAAATCATTGGCCTTTGGCCCTTTTTTTCTTTTTCTTCCTTCCTTCTTTTTTTTTTTTTTTTTTTTTGTTTTGTTTTTTTGAGACAAGGTCTTGCTGTGCAGTGATCCTCCTGCCTCAGCCTCGCAAGAACTGGGATTACAGGCATGCACCACCACGGTTTGGCCCTTCCTTTCTGAGTTTGCCATATAATACTGTGTTTGTGTCGCCTACTGTACATCTTACCTTTCACCCACCAGGTGTGAAACTTCTGCAATGTCTTGCCCTTATGTTTATTTCTAATTTCCCCCTGGCGCAGTTGGCTGAGAGTGAATCTAGATTTAAATCCAAGGCCTGGAAGATGGCAAGCAAACAGTGGAGTTTGGAAAGAATGAGGACTTTTAGGGGAAAAGAAGTCAAAACAGGATCTCTTTAGGTACATAGAGAATGATCTTTATCTTTTCACCTTTGGCCTAGGAAAAATACAAAGCGGCTCCAGGGCTCAGCAAGGCCTGCAGTGTTGGTGAACCTTTTAGAACTTTCAGTGACACAAACAGCCAGCTGCTGTGGCACTTGTGCCCCTGGCCTATAAGTAGCTAGGAAGAGGTTCTGAGTAGGTCATACTTAGAGCCTGAAGGAAAAAAGGGGAGTCATTTGTCATATGATTAAAGCAGTGGTTATGCTAAATGGTAGGGTGGTGGTTGGGAAGGGATGCTTTAACATCCCTAAAACTCCACCAGGTACCTACGATGAACTACCACTGCCACCAGGACTAATCCAAAAAACTATTCCTTGTTTGGGGCAAATGGTACTTTCTCAGTCAGATGTGACATGTCTTTTACAAAGATTTTTGGAGAACCTGATTTTGTATGGATTCACCACACAGCTTTAAATATGATTAAACATAGCTTTGAAATAAGGTTCTGTAAACTTGTGACTCACGAAAGACAAAGACGGTGGCAGCAGTCTCGCTGGAAGTTCTTAAGTACATCTATCAAGAAGGTTGACGGTGCTGGGCACGGTGGCACACGTCTGTAATCCCAGCATCTGGGAAGCTGAGTCAGGAGGATCGCCAACTGGAAGCCAGCCCGGGCTACGTAGTAACTTCAAGGCCAGCCTGAACTACACAGGAAACTCCGTCTCGGAAAACCACGCACACACAGTGCTTAGCAGGCTTGGCCAGGAACAGATATGGACGTACGTGCGCGAATGCGTGTGTGTGTGTGTGTATGATACGAGGACGAGAGTGGTAATAAAGACATGTCTGCCTCTCCTTGTGAAGTCAAAATTACGAAAATCCAGTACAATTCGCGTCATCAGGGTCCAAGGACGTCCTTCTGCGGTCCACAGCGGTCCCGCCGGCGTTTAACACCAAAACCGCCGCAACAGCCCCGAGTGGAGTTGAAGCCGGGAACGAACGGTATCCGCCCGGACCAGGCCCCACCCGCTCCAGGGTCCTCCCCGTGTGGCCCGCTGGGAATTGTAGTTCTGTGGTCCAGGGCCCGCCCCGCCCTCTCTGCTTCCGTTCAGCCCCGGATGAGTCCCCAGAACGGGGGCCACGAGCCCGGCCGAGAAAGCTCGGGACTACAATTCCCAATGGAGCAATGGAGCGACACTCCAACGCGCAGCCCCTGGTAACCTGGGTCGCGCTTCCACGCACGCGCACATACGCCGGGCGGTGGCGGGATTTGGCAGCTTGCGCCTTCCCGCCCTAGCCGTCTGGGCGTTTGCCACGCCCCGGGCCGCCTGTCACGTCTTGCCCCGGCGCTCCAGGCTGCTCCCTCGCGCCTCCACACGCCCCTCCTTTCACGGGTTTCTTTGGGAGCCGGGGCCCCGCCCGTTTCCCGTCTCCGGGCCCCTATTCGTCCCCGCCCTAGCCCGCCCCTCTCCTTCGCGCCCCTGCTGCTGTTGCTGCTGCAGCTGCTGTGGCTGCTGCAGGCGGTGGCTCCATGTTGTCCCCTCAGCGAGCGGTAGCGGCTGCCTCGAGAGGAGCAGGTGAGGCGTCTGCTTCTCCCCGGACCCGCTCCGTGGCCACCCCTGCCTGCCTCCTTCCCTGCTTCGGCTCCGCGCTCACTGCCTGCCTGCTGTCGGCCCCGGGACTGGGACTGCGCCTGCGCCCCCGCCGCTGTCTCTGGGGGCCGGGGGCTTCCGCTGGGGGCGGCGCCCGGGCCGGGGGTTCCCGGGCCACTTCGGGCGGCGAACCCCGCTCCGCGCGGAGCCTTCGCGGCTCGGCCGGCGCCGATCCGACGCCCCGGCCGCGTTAACGGGCCGCGGTGGAGCGGGGATGGGGATGCTGTCTGAGCCTGGCGCCGGAGGGCTGGGAAGCGCCCTGAGAGTTGCAAATTTTTATTTTTATCTTAACGACCTTGAAGCGCTGGCGAGTGTTAGGAAAAGTTGTTTTTCCCGTCCACGCTTGTCACCATAAAGGGAGATTAAAGAGAGTTGCCCTGGATTGGTTTCTTAGTAAGTTCTCTGAGCAATTTGGTCTCCCCGTGAGTTTGTTCTTTCGCTTTCCCAAAGACGTAAAATGTGGCTAAATAAAATACCAAATAGGGAGTCACTGTGAATTCGTGGGTACGATTTTGCCTGTCATTGTACCTGGCTTTAATGTATGCGCTTCAGAAAGATCCCGAAGTGTCAGTTGCGAAATCTAAAAGGAAAAGATTCACGAACAGTGTTTGAAGAATCTTTAATACCGAAGTTCCACTCCAATTTGAGTACTAGGTGGTTGATGGTTTTGTAAAAGATTGGAAGAAAACTAGCGGATTAGAACTCGGATTACCCATTTTAGCTTACTTTTGAGAAGCAGATTTTAAAAAGCACGACCAAAGACTTTAATACGTCAAGTATTCAGCATTGCAAAATACGTCCTGGAAATTTAAATTAGCGTTCTTTTAAAAAAAATTCTCACAGAAATTAGCCTGTACTGTACAGATTCCTGTTGCTCCTCTAATACTTGTACTATACACAATGCATTTGAGACATTTGATTGAAAAACACGTCCTAAGAGGTCAAGGGTTTAGCTCAGCGGTGTAAGTGCCTGATTGGCAAATGTAGTCATGAGTTTGATTTCCGATACTCCCTCCCCCCAAAAAAGAAAAAGATGTCCTAATAGTGAAGGTTTATACTAGTCAAGCACCGTTTTATTACCTACAGTTTAGGTTCTCATGCAAAAAAAAAATTTTTTTTTTGGTACTGGGGATCAAATTCACGACTAATGTAATATTTATAAAATTAAGAAAAATAATAGAGCCGGGTGTAATGGTACATTCCTGTAATCCCAGCACTAGGAAGGCTGAGGCAAGAGGATTGTTGCAAGTTTGAGATCAGCCTGGACTACAAAGTGAGCTCAAAGCCAGCCTGAATTGCACAGCGAGACTCTGCCTCAAAAAGACAAAAAAAGGGAGGGGGCAGATGTGTACTAGCATAATTTTCTTAGTGTTCGGTAAGTTAGTTTTATTTTGTGGTACTGAGGAGTGAACCCAAGGCCTGGTGCTACACTAATTTTACCATGAGCTATATACTCTTATCCCCTTATTTATATAGGTGTTTACAGTTTTTTTTGTTGTCTAACCTGTCTGTCCTTCTGTCCTTTTGCCTGCCAGTCTGTCCCCCCCACAGCAATCCATAGAATGAAGGTGACAGTCTCATTAATTTAAAATGAAATAAATTGTGCTTGGTGGTGCACTTGTAACTCAGCGCTCTGGGATGCCGAGGCAACAGGATAGCAAGTTTTCTTCCAGGCTGAGCAGTTTTGTGATTTAGCAAGACCCTGCCTCAAAATAAGACTAGTGATGTAGCCTACGGTGAAGGCCCTGGATTCAATCCACAGTAGGAGGTGGGGTAGGGTTGTTGCATAACAAGAAATGTAAAGCCTTCTAGTTCCCACCTTGGTCACACATTTTTTAAATTTTAATTTTAATTTTTTTTGGTACCGGGATCCAACTCCTGACCTCTAGCTTGCTAGGCAGGTGCTCATGGTGCTAAGCTAAATCCCTGGCCCCACATGATTTTTAAAGATTTTTGCGACATACTTTAGGACATCCTGTATGTCTGTACCCTTGAGAACTGGTTTAGAATTTACATGTAGTCATCACCAGCCATGTCTGTTCAAAGTTCTTTATGGCCTTGTGTTTCATGTTAGGTTTAAGTAACACAACTACACTTTTTTTTCCCCCAATTTTATTTTGAGACAAAGTCTGTCTAAATTGTCCTGGCTGGATTTGAACTCATTGTGTACCCAGGCTAGCTTCAAACTGTATTGATACTTCTGACTCAGCCTTCTTAGGGCTGAGATTACAGGTGTGTCCCATCACACCTGATAGTTTCTTTAAATTTTAAAAGGTTTTCCTGAGTTGTCTTTGAGAGTTGAGTATATTTTTATTTTATATTCAAGATAGAAGTTGGGCCAGGGAGTTAGCTCAGCAGCATAAGTGCCTGCCTTGCAAGTACGCACTTGTGAGTTCGAGCCCCAGTTCCCCCCAAAAAAAAAAGACTTACACATTTCACATATACATTATTTGTATCCATGTGTGTGTGTGTATGTATATCAACAGTAAGGGAAAGCAGAAAGCCTTTGTTCAAAAAAAATCAGGGTCCAGGCAAGAGTTGCCAAAAAAAAAAAAAAAAAATCTCCAATTAATGGTTCTATTTTGTATACTAGTATATAGTTAAATATTACTGTTATTATTATTTTGAGACAGGGTCTCTCTGTGCAGTTTGGACTGACCTTGAGCTCAGTTTGTAGCCCAGGCTGGTCTCAAATATGCAATGATCCTCTTGCCTCAATCTCTGGAGTGCTGGGATTACAAGTGTGTGCCACCACTTCCAGTAGATAGTCAAATATTCTTATAGGTGATTTCTTACATTTGAATTGATTTTCTATAGTAAATATTTGCTAGCATATATTTTGAAAAGTTCTGTACAAATTTCTAGAACATGCTTTTTATTTGACTATTTCGATTGTGAGAACTAGCTAGGTGTATTTCACAGCTAGAGTATACTACGTTAGGGGTAGGCTTTATTTTTTAAATTTACTTTTATCTTGTTTTTTTGTTTTTTTGAGACAGGCTCTCATTCTATAGTCCAAACTGGCCTTGAACTTGTGGTAATCCTCCTGCCTCAGCCTTCCAAGTGCTGGGATAATAGGCGTGTGCCCCCATGCCCAATTTGCTTTTATTTTTTAAATTAAGTTTATCGGTACATTTTAGGTATACATAATGATCACATTCTTCACAAAGAATTTGTACCTGTACATGATACAATATAATTCTTTTTCCCCATTACCCTACCTTCCTTTTAACCTCTCTTTTCTTAATAAAAACTTTGTTTCTAGTTTTTCCTTGTTTTTTTCCCTCCCTTCCCTCCTTTCCCCTCTCTAGTTCTCCTTCCCATTTGAATATTTTCTTATTTCATAAGCTCTTATACATAATGCCTATTATATATCTATTATATATGTTATATATAATGCCTTTATATATATTTTCATTTTCTTATACTAGAGAAACAAAGTGGTATTTACATGTGTGTCTAATTTATTTCACTTAAGAGTATGGTCTCAAAATGCATCCATTTCAAAAACAAAAAAAATGCATCCATTTCATTTAGTTACAAAAGTCTCAAGTTTATCCTTTATGGCAGAGTGGTACTCCATTGCATAAAAACTCACATCTTTATCCATTGTTGGTTGATGGACATTTGGACTGTTTCCATGATTTGGCTATTATAAACTGCTACTCTAAACATGGGTATGCATATATTGCTGTGGTGTGGTATAATGCTTTTAATTCTTTCAGGAAGATAAGAAAGGGAATAGCTGGGTCCAGTGGGGCCTCTAGTCCTAGTTTTTTGAGGAATCTCTACACTGATTTACACAGTGATTATACCAGTCTCTATTCCCCTCAACAGTGGAGAAGGGTTCCTTTTCCCCACAGCTCCACCAGCATTAGTTAATGGTTGATTTCTTGATAGTAGCCATTCTTTCTGAGCTGAGATGGAGCCTCAGCTTTGTTTAATTTGCATCTCTGACCAGTGATGTTGCATATTCATTCATGTATTTATTTTCTGTGTACTACTACTTCGCCTGAGAAGTGTCTATTCATTTTAAATGCCCATTTTTGAATTGAGCCTTTAACTTTGGGGAGTTTGATTTTTTTTTTTTTTTTTAGTTCCTTATTATAGTACTTCAACTATGTACTACTAGTACCACAAATATTAGAGAGTAATCCTTTGAGGAACAGCTGGCAAAAACTTTCCCACTATGAGTTGTCTCTCCACTCTGGTGGTTTCTCTTGCTGTGTGGAAAAGCTTTTTAATAAGGCGAGATCCTAGTTATTGATTCTTTGTGATAGTTTCTGTGATACTGGGGCTTTGTTCATTAGTCTTTGCTTACACCACTGTCTTCAAGAGTTCCACCTGTTGTATTTTCCAGAAGATTTAGCGTTTACAAAAGTGCGCCACCATCTCTGGCATGGGTCTGTGGCTACTCCCTCACCATACCATGCTGTTTTTATCCCAGTAGCTTTGTAGTATAATTTCAAGTCAGGGATCATGTGTCTCCTGCCTTGCCTTTGTTTCCCAGAATTGCTTTTGCTATTCTAGGTCTCTTCTGGTTCCAAATGAATTTTAGGATTATTTTCTCTAATTCTGTGAAATATACTGTTGGAATTTTGATTAGGATTGCATTAAATCTGTATAATAATTTTGAAAGTATACTACCCACTATATTGGTTCTTCCTACTCAAGAACAAGGGATGTCTTTCTATTTTTTGATATCCTCTTCAAAGGAGATAGGGTTTATTGGTATAGTAGGCAAATAAGTAAAAGAGCGGAGTGTTTATGCTTTAAAATGGTAAACTCAACCCAGGTAAGTACTGCTAATTTAAAAAGCATTATTTAAAACAGAAAAGAACCAAAAAAACCTTGGGCTAGGGATTTAGCTCAGCAGTTTAAGTACCTGCTTGGTAAATGTGAGGTCAAGAGTTTGATACCCAAAA